TCCCCTGTTGTCAGCCAATATGCTGCACAACATTATGTCTCACCGAAAGCAACGAAGACCACAGCTTCAAACACTACAAACCTCCAACCAGAACCCCTCTCTCATTCTCCTGACCACCCTTCACCCCTCCTAACTCCTATTACTAGTTCCCCTGTCCACACCACTCCAGAACAGCAGAACCCACCCATCAACGATTCTCCTGTCCACACTTCACCCAACAACACTCCACCGACCCACACCTCCGGAAGTACTTCACCCATCCACACATCCGAAAACACTTCACCTGTCCACACCAAATCCTTCCACACTCCAGAACCCAAATCACCTGTCCCCCACACAACCTTAGCTATCTACGATGCCTCTCACCACCCTAACAGCCCCCCTGTCCAAAGCCCTCTCTTCCGAGCCGTTGGAATATTCCAACCTTTAAGCCCTGACCCCCCTTCTCTTTCTCAACCAAGATACGACTCATCAGCTAACCAAGCATCCCAAAATCCTCTTCCCTATTGGTATGATGGTCCTTTCACACCACAGCCTTCTCCGTCTAAGACTTCTGATAGTCTGCAAGGTTTCATAAGTCATGCTGCAGTACTCAACGCATTTTCAGCTACCGCTTCTCCCCAAGCTCCTCTTTCGACTCCCCGGTCACTCCGCAGCAATCAAAAGGTAAGATAACTCATTCCATGCCCTTCGTTGTAATCTTGGTGTTGTCTTCAATTACCTTTTGCTAACCTCAGTCCTTTACAACACACTAGGCTCATCAAAGCGTTGTCACCGAAGCTGTAGAAGTGAGTGACGGAGAAGAACCTAAGCACATCCCAGATCATTCTGAAAACCTCCTAGCAAAAGACCTAAGAAGCTGCAAAGATATCCCACCACAATCTCTAATTTCACCCTTACCTTGGAAACAATGGGATCATTTTTGCCGTGTGGTGGCACAGATCAAGCATGTGTAAGTAGTCTTTAAATGTGTTCACCTACTAAAACACGATTACTAATTCGAACTCATCTCTCCACAGGAACCACATAACACCTTCTCAACACGGGTTCTCCAACAAATGGCTCTTGCAACTAGCGGAGCCTCAGCAGTGGACATCCTTTTATGTACAGTTTCTAGACTCTATTTTGTTACTTTATTATGGGATGCTTTTGTAGTGATTAAATTTGTTTATGAATCTCTCTAATTTTCCAGCATATGGAGGTTCTCATGTACATGCTAGCTGAAAGGCATAGGCCTCATGCTCCAGGAACAAAACCTCTCATTCACTTCTCCGGACTTTACATTTGGAATCCAGCGGATATCCAAAAAGTTCATGGCATCAAGAAAGAGAGAGACATTCATTTGGCCTGACGCCCTCACCGAGGTTGTACTCAAGCCTGGTTGTAAGTGGATGGAAGATGTTATTACTGTCTACACACCCATGCTATGGAACGAGAAGCACTGGGTTGGCCTTGCCATCAACCTCGACCTGGGATGTGTCGAAATCTTAGACCCCCTCCCGACTTTGTACACCGACAAGACTGTT